TAATTCTTATCAAAATTTGCTTTGATATTAACATATTGTTTTGTTATGTTATAACTGCTTCAATATTATTTTCAGTTATTAAGTCAATTCATACTATTATTGAGTCTACGCCTCGAAAATATATTCACCTTGGGGATCATCTTATTAACAAAATAGTGGTCAAGTTTGATTTCAAACAACCAAGTAAAAGGACCTGAATTTTGGTGCATATCCCTTAGTTATAGGCTTTACAGCTGGCATAAATCTCAATAGCAATAGTTAAGGGATTTCAATTTCTCACAAATTTAGCATACTATATCTCATTCGTTTCAACTCGGATTTTAAATGGATTAGAAAAACCATATTAATTTCAACTTGCCAAAGAAACGTCGAAGAAGGTTATGATGAGCTATTTACAAGAATCATACAACAACATCAAAGACATAGTAGTTATGTAACAATCTATATCTACTTTTCAATTATTTTTAACTTCAAGTTCATTTTCATTAGAGAGAAAACAACATACCCACTAAAATATAAAGCTTTCAACCAAATAATGTATCTCAATTGTTGTTATTTTATAGATTTAGGTTTACCTGTGAGTTGTAGACAATATTTGTTTAATCTAACTTTATTGTTGATCTGCATCATGAGGAAGCTAGATTTTTTGGAATAATTATTGAGAAACTACTCAAAGATAGTGAAAAAATGAAAAACCTTCACACCCTCATCTCATACAAAATGAGAGCATGAAATTAAACTTCCATGTGAAACTCACCAATTACAACATCGCGAACCCCATAAGTGGGTACACAGTTTTGAAGATAATGGAGGATGAAGAAGAGCAATCTCAAACAAAGTTCATGACATGTATTGGATAAATTTAAGTTCTTGAAAATGCAGTTTTCACAATTCATAAATTCTGCCATTAAGAGTATACTAATATAAAAGATAGTGAATTCAGTGATAGAGATAATGACATTATTGAGATAACGAAAGAGATTATTGATGGTGGACATAGAAATATTGTGATTGGAGGAAAGAACGAATGATTGCTAATATTTGTGATTTATATTAGGCAAAATTCTAGCACCCTGAAAAGTTGTTTCACATTTTCAAACATTTTAGCATTAAAATGGTTTTCAATGAGATGCAGTATAAAAAGGAAAAGACTATGATGGTGAATATAAAGTTTCATTAATGAAAGAATAAATATGAAGTTGTGTGGAGGAGATACTTTTGATGGCAGAGCTCTCAAAAGGAAATTACAGTAATTTCTAACATCAATGAGTAAATTGAAGTAAGTTTTGAAAATTACGTTTTTTCATGGTCCATGAACCCGTATCGGATATTGACTGGAAAAGTCAGCGGTATGATATTTTTATGATAAAATTGTGGTTTAACCATAGTTCAACCGTTAGACCGTTAAATACCGTCTACCGGTTTTGCCTCCGATACTGGTGTTTCGTGGTTGAACTGCCGGTACGATTTCATGGACCATGATTTTTTTACGAATCGGTTACCTGCATGAGTTGTGTTGTTTACTTTTTCAAAAGGACGTTTGTCCATGAATGATCAAGATGTTGTAAGACTTCTAATGTAGTTTTTTAATATTTTGAGTAATTGAATAATTTAGTTTCTTTCATGATAACAAATAAATGATTCCTATAATTACTATTAGTATTTATACGATTGTTGTAATTTATCCGGCCAATGGGCGGGCCCAACTCTAGTGGTACGCATGCAAAAGGAATTCCCCTTGTGGGTTGTGTTACTTCCCCTTCCATTGGGTTGATATTTAATTTGGTCATCTGTTCTGTTGTTTCAAAACTGGAGATGCATGTCCTTTCTAAGATGCAAGGAGGCTAGATCTGTTCTAGATCTGACTTGTCTTCTCCTCATCTTTTTCATCGGATAAGCCTTGTAATCATCAAAATACATCTTATATAGCTCAAAGCCAAGTGATCTGTGTTGTAGACAATTGCTCGGAATAAGATAGTGTAAGACTGCAAGTCAATTTTAGCATTTAATCATCGTACGCAATATTAAGATCTTACTAGCATAATAGATAAGCTGAAAATGCATGTTTGTCTAACTTCTGGCCAATTATCGCATCCGCTTTAGAATCGCAAACTAATCACTACATAAGTAACTCTACAAGAAAACCGATTTAGGGAGACAAATAATCATAAGCGATTATTGTATTAGTTTCCATAACTAATCTTTTGATGCATATATATCATTTGTCTCTATATGACATTGTATTTGTCTCCATTTCATAACATTTTCTAAGACTTTTAAAAAGAAATATTATTTGTCTCGATATGTCATTGTATTTGTCTCCATTTCACAACAATTTGTAAGGCTTTTAGCAAGAAATGATATCTGTCTCGATATGTCAATGTATTTATTTCCATTTCACAACAATTTGTAAGACTTTTAAAAAGAAATATTGTTTGTCTCGTTATATGACATTTTATCTATCTCCGTTAACAACAACTTATAAGAATTTAAGAATTGGCTCTATCGCCCAAAAAATCGAAGTCCCCGCCCTGCCAAAAAAATTGAATGCCCGCCCCGCCCTCCATTATTTGCATTCTTCCCTTCTTTAACTCAACTTTACCAAAACATTAACAGATTGTTTGATACCAAATGAATATGGAATTCATTTCGTTTTAAAATGAATTCCTGTGTAGAATTTATTATCAAATGAATTCCTGTGTTTGGTATATGCTATTAGCGTTACAATCAAGTTCTTGTCGATGTTCCTCATACTGCATGAATTGGCGCCAAATAATATATGTAGAAGTAATTTTGTTAATAAATGAGAATGATTATGTACTTTTATCATAATTGGTAAATACTTGTGGAATTCATTTGAAAATTCCATCTCAATTCCTCGGAATTGCTATAACTAGTTCAAATTCCGTAGAATTCAAAATTTATAATTGAAAAATGAATTCTTTTAAATACCAAACACATAAAGATTTCATTTCAAAATGAATTCCTAAAAACTTATGGAATTCATTTATACCAAACGGTATGTAAAGTTCCTTCGCCTCTTAATTCAGATCTAATACAAACCTTCCCTCCCATTCCTCAGACGCTCCCTGCACAACCTTCTTCGTTGGACTCGATAATCGACAATCCCCGACAGGCTCTCCCTTTCTGACACCTTGTTTCTCAAGTTCATTGAGGCAATTTTACTTCATTCAATTGATCCCTAGTTCTATTTGATTTCTAGGGTTCAGACCGATTTCGTCGCTTCAAAATTTCTTACCGATTTTATTGCCGCAAAGCCCAGTTAACGACGGTTCTGAAGGGTCGGCGATTATAGGTCGGCATATGCAGGGGCAGGGCTAGCGGAGGAGGGTGTACAAGAAGGTGGTTAGAGCGATCAAGTGATGCCTCAACGTTGTGGATACCAAACCGTTGTTGAGCGGCGGATCCAGGATAAAGTAGAATACTGGGCCGCATTTTATTAGAAAATTAGATACCATAAAAAATCGTAGTTTATTTAACAATGTCGATTGTACAAGTTGATATTTTAATATAGGAAATTCATCAATAATGGAATCTACATCCATACCAATAGCATACTACTCTCTTTCAAATAAAATAGTTAACCAGTCGGCAACAAAAACAAATTCCTCATTTTGTTGGCAAATCATTTTTCACCCGTTCCATTGTTGAAATTGTTCTCTCCATAGTAGTTGTTGAAACGAGCAATGTCAATACTAGACAAATCAATAGGCTAATCAATTTGTATTGTGTGTCCATCTCTATTTCGGTATTTCCACCCGCTGCTCTAATTATTTTTCAAGGGACCAAACCTCATATTTCTTGCGGACTTTTATGTTTTAAACTTTTAGAATTTTAAATTTCATTGTCTGTTTTTCTTTAAAAGAGCATCATTGGAGCTACAATTTCTAGGCTAAATTTAGAATTGTGATTTGAATATATTCATTTTCCTAATTATACACAATTTTATTATAAAATAACACTGGACCAAATAGCTAAAATCGATAAACTCATATAGACTATATTAGCTCTGGATCCAGACGAGGGTTGGGTCGGGGCCCGAGGTGACCACCCCTGGATCGACTACTGCGTTGTTGAGGTTAGGGGTTTCAGTCGGTCGGTTTTGGTTTAACCGAGCGACCACCTCCGGCTACCGACCATCGACCGTGAAAGATACAGCGGCTAGCCGACCACTGACCGGTCGGTTAGCCGGTTTTGGTTCGGTTAATCTCATGCCCGAAAACCACACCCTAATCTATATAAAAAAATTAAAAAAATCAAAAAATACAGGAACCACTTATTCCTTATCTTTCCTTTCAAACCCTCCACCACCACCACATTCATTATCTGCTCCGTCTCTCTCCTCCATCCTTCTCTCTCCTTTCTTTTTCACTCAAGTCTCAAGATTCAAGAAGCAGCCGAGAAGGAGGGCTTGCCGCCGACGGGAGAGGGAGGAGCGACCTCGCGAAGCCGGCGGACAGAGGCGGAGGGAGACGGCGTTCGCGCGGCGGCGGCAGGCGGCGCGGCGCGGCAGGTGGAGCCTGTTGCATGCAGGTCGCGACGGTTGGAGGCGGAGCCGTGGAGAAAGTTGTGGTGGCGGTGGAAGGAGGGGGAGCGGAGGAGGCAGGGGAGGGCGGCGGCTGGTGCTGGTGGTGGTGTCTGTGGAGGTGAGGGTGGAATAGAAGGTTGGTGGGAGAAGAAGAAGATTTAGGGATTCGAAAATTTAAGGAGAAGAAGAAGATTCAGGGAGAAGTGGATTCGAAAATTTTGGGATTTAGGGTTCGTCAGATGGGGGAAGAGAATGGTTAATTGAAGGAGAGCTTCATATGGGCGCCGTCGATGGTTTGGCCGATGGGAGACGACGGGGGGTGGTTGCTGGTGGTGAGGGAAGGGAAGGGAGGGGTCGAGGTCGACGAAGGAGAAGGAGAAGGAGGATAGGGTTTGGGGTGGGCTTTTGGGCTCGGGTTTTATATAGGTCGGTTGGCCTCAGTTACTCGGATAGCCGATTTCGGTTGCTCGGCTAGCCGACTCTCCTACCAGCCACTCTGACCACCAACCGAGACTCTATACAGTCGGTTTATGGTTAGCCGCTAACCGATGGTTATCGGTCTAACCGTCCGGTTAGCCACTAACCGGCAACCGAACTGCCAACCCTAGTTGAGGTTAAAACCCTCAAAAAGGTAAACTAATCCTATGCTCCTTTTAGCTCTTGTTTTGGAAATGGGATTTCTATGGGTTGTTAGTGATGATTTTATCAATTGGAATCTCTCAGTAGATTGGGAACTCTGGTTTGCTATTGGCTGTGAGTTTTTATGTTTATGCTTTGTCAAAGGAATACCTCAGTCAAAGCTCCTTAGAGATTAATAATAGTAGCGTATTGTGAGTCAGATAGGGTGTTCTGTTTAGGGATTTTATTCAGGTTTCGTTGGTTTATCAGTGATACGATTTACAATAAAACCCCTTTGAACCCTTTTATGCTTGGAAGACAGAGTACCGGTCATCCTTTTCGACTTCGGACAACGAGGATCTCCAGGGGTGTAATTGCTGCAGCTTGACAATGAATCAACGTAGGAGACTGGCCTTGATTGTAACTTAGTATATTAGATTCTTAAAAATTGTGTAAGAGCACTTTGGTCTGTCATTCTTTTTTATTTCCAGGATCATGTTTATTGCTTTCTTTTGTACAAACTCTGGTGAAAAATAAATAAAAATGATGTTATTTTTATTCCAAGTATGTACATATTTCCATGGTAAATAAAGTCATTTCAATTTTTTGTATTTACAGAATTGCCAAATATTACCCAATTATCTGCCTCTAGAAGATTAAATAATTACAATATTATGTTTCAAAATATATCCATTAGAAAAAAAAACATATATGTTTACATAAATTTATTTAGAAACAAATACATTTGCCTCCAAAACTAATATTGGAAACCAAAATATTTGCCTCCAAATATATCTATTGGAGGCAAATATTTACGTCTTTTTAAAGGCCTTTAGATGCATATATAGATGACCCGAAAACAAAAACATGTGTCTCGAATTCCATTATTAGAGACATTTACAATTTGCATCTATATTTGTCTCCAAAAGGAATCTGAGACAAGAGCAAATGATTCAAATAACATATGTGCATCGAAAGACATATAGAAGAAAATAAGTAACATTTAGACACAAATAAGCTCCGTTTCCGAAGCCTAGTTTTCTTGTAGTGAAACTTCTTCTTTAGAGTCTCATAATAGGACAAATTACACCTATTGTACTTTTAATTTTCTTTTTCCCCTTATTCGTTACTTTTTTCAAACATTATCAATTATTACTTTCGTTCTCAGTACATTTCTATTTTTTCTTTTATCTTCTTACTTTTCATTAAGCACGACACGAGCACAAGTAGACACGACAAGATTCAAACCGTGCTCCGACCGGGTATAGAAAATTGAGAAAATGGACTGGCAGTGCACGACACGAAAACTAATGAACCGTGTCAAGCACTATATAAAATAATTAAAGGGTCCGATGTGTGCTTGTGTTGTACTGATCCAAGCACGACCTAGCATCCAAGTACACTTCAAATTCAAACATGGGTAGCAGTACTTGTAAAACACAGGCCCACCATACCATGTGCTTGAAAGACAACGGTTAATATTGGGGGTCGTGGAGATTCGAACACATGACCTTTCGGTTCTAGACCCTAATACCATGTCATGAACCAGTTGCTCACAATAACTCGAGTTGTTGGGAGAAGGTTATGCTGAATCTTATACCACTTTCTAACCATACTTTTATCAATATAGTGTATTGTTTGCTTTCTTCCACGATTGAACAACCCACTCCAAACTGTAAATGCAACGATTAAAAGAATCCCGAGCCATCCCAAACTGTAAAAGAACCAAAATATCAACCCAAATATGGATGGGTTGAACAACCCGTCCCAAACTTTGCATAACGCTTGTTACGAAGAAGCAAAGACTGTGAACGAAATACATACTTGTGCGTGTTCATATTCTATACCATATAGAAGACGGTGCCACCTAATACAAGTGATACGTGCTTTCCCTGTTTTAAAACTGTGGTCTTTGCAGTTGAAGCGATAACTTCAAAGTTGATTTTTGTTGTCATTAATTCAGAGCTCATGTGATTCAAATGGAGTGGCCAGATCGGAGAACGATATGACTCGCCGCCGGGGGTGCGGTTTTTGTCGGGCGGCGGCTAGAATACTATTGGAAATGGAATCTCATAATTAGCGGCGGAGAAAATAGAGCAGGTGCCAGCCAGCCAGGACCAATTGTTTTGTAGGACCTGTTTGCTACAAATTCCTTGTTAAAACATGGGAATGGAAAAGTAGTCTGAGACTCTGAGGGAATTCGACTACGTACCATGAATCTGTAGTCATCATCAATGTCTAACCTAACCCTCCCCCTTTCTGGTCAAATGTTACTACTGTTATCATTTTATTTGCGATTTGTTTTGCCTCAAGAAATTCGAAATTTGAAATATTGGTAGAAAAATAACAATAATATTTATTATGACTTGAAGAATCCCATAACTATGCTATTCGATTCCAATCACTGGAATTGTCCATTGCGATATATAAGGTAATCAAATATAGATTTCCCATTTCCGATAGAAATGCAAGGATGACATCTGAAATCACTCATTTCATTGCTTTATTATATTTACTAGAAAGAGACAATATACTATTTTTAGCATCGAATCAGGATTTTTTTTTTTTTTTTGTGTATACTGCTTATTGAATTTTTTTTTCTCGAACTAATAGAGAACGTCTTTTCTCTGGTCCTTCCCTTTTCTTGTCCCTTTCTCAGTTCTCTCCATGCTGTTTCCTCGTTTTGTCTTTCCCGTTTGGAAAATGGAGAGTATGCCTTTACGTGGACAAATATATTTTAGATGGACCAGGAATTGGAAACAGGTGAGCTAGAAGATTACATACACCTCAGCAACAGCAAGTCAGCATCTTATGAAAATTTTATCTTTTTTAATATTTACCCTTATAAAGACTATGCAGTATGCACTTAACCTCTTTTACCCTCCACCTTTCTAGAGCAATTTGGGTGGTGGCTTGCTGAGGATGGTATACAGGGGTGGCAGTTCGATTGTCCGTTACCGGTTAATCGGTTGGTTAAATTGATAACTGACATTAAATCGATAATAGAAAATTACAAATGTAGGTCGGTGGTCGGAGCTCTTAATAGGTGCTTCGGTTAATTAAGTAATCGGAGATGGTTAATCGCAGTTAATCTAGTAACCGAAAATAACCGACCAACCACCCGTACTTATGACTTTATGAAGTTTAAGCCGTCATGTTGTTGAATTTGAGACATCAATTTGGTGATTTAGATGTATTTTTTATGCAAAAGGGATTGAGAATTTACTTTGGGTGATTTAGATGTAGAAATGAAAGTTTGAGCCTTTAATTTTTGGAGATTTACCCCGTTAAAACCGAAGCTGCAGGCACAATTTTGGTTACTGGGTAACCAAACCACTAACCGCCACCGGTAACCAATTGGTCGGTGGTCGGTTAACCGAGGTGGAATGATCGATCGATGGTCGGTAGGGGGAGGAGGTGGTTCGGTTAACCGTTAACCAAAACTTTGATTTTCGGTTATAACCGAACCGACCGACTGCCACCCCTAGATGGTAACAAATACTTCCATTCAACTTATTCCTAATGAGATGAGGGTGGATGTGAAGGATCTAAGACCTATGAGCCTCGTTGAATCCATTTATAAGATTATTGCGCGAGATTGATGAAATCATTTTATGTTCATTTTTAATCAACAGTGTACTTTTTTCGGAGGTAGACATGCAATGGAAATATGGCATAGCCAGGAGGTAGACATGCTGTGCATTAGTATACGATGTGTTTTCACATTTTGAAAAGTATTTATATTACAGTAATCATCCAAATTATCAACGATGTCACTCTCAATATATCCCACCAAAAAATTGTTCATGATTTCACCACTAGTCTTATGCATAAATGTGTTTTTCACAAAGTTCATTGCATATAATGCTCTTTCAACACTTGCAATTGTGACAAGTAGCACAATGTCAACTTCATAGTGAAGTCGATACACTAATTGAAATACACGATGTTTTTTAACACAACAATTTTCCTAAAAAATTCAACAATTTCCTTTAATCCTGCAAATCTCTTAATTGACTTCATATCAAATACATAAGCATCTAGTTGATGAAGGTCCAGTTGTAATGCATCACCTTTCGATAACTCATTAAGATAAAATGTAGCAAGTTTTAATAATAATTTCTTGTCAAAGTTAATAATTGAATCTTCTGGAGTTAAACATTTCACGCAACATAGCAAATTTGTATTAGCCTCGTCGAAGAGATCATTAAGGACTTCTAACTACATATCTACAACTATTATACATAAAGCATGCAATGACATGTAACTTAGTGGTGGAAATGATAGGCGTTTATAGGGAGGTCCCTTATTTAAATCTCGATCCCAAATAAACACGAGTAATATTTTTTCGTATGTGTTTCAAATTTCAGGTAGTGTCATATCTCAATTGTAAGTTGCTCCGCCGCCACTGTAGACATGTTACATATATTGCAATGATGCTGAATGATTTGAGGAAGCATATAAGAGGATGTACCACTACCTCGAGTGGGAACACTGTCGTAACTCTTAAGTATGGGTAGAGGGAGAGTGTAACAGGATGGATCCCGAGACTCTTTTCATATATATTTTTAAGTGGATCCACATTAGACGAAATCCTGGTTACGGCCTGCTCATAAGACTATCTCCAATGGTTGTGCTAGAGAGCTAGACTTATTTGTGCTCTTTGACACCCAAAAATGGGTTTTACTCCAATGCAGTGCGAAAGACTCACAGAAAGAGCAAGACTTTAATTTTTGGGCCAATGTAGTTTAGAGTAGATTTCATCAATTTACTTAGATAGTTTGTAGATTGTTTTAGGGTAAATACTATTTTTTAGCCAAAATCCATTTCAAAATATTAGCCAAACCTTTCAAAATACAAATATTAGCCAACTGTTAAGTTTATGTTAAAATTTTCGTTAGTCAAGACTGAGTTGGCAAAATGTAATGCTCAGCTGGTAAAAAAATGATAACGTGGCAGTGAATAGGATGACAAATAAGTCATCTTTTCATCTTTTTTACAGGCTGTTCTTCTTCCCCACCATCTCCTTCATCTTCTTCTTTCCTTCCTTTCTACCTCTTCACAGAATGTCAAGATCCAAACCCCCTCTTCTAACTCTGTTGACGGTGACTCTCCATCCGCTGGCGGTGACGTCATCTTCTAGCACCAGTCATCCCACATCAGTCGTCACTTCGATTCCAGATCCAGAAACTGAAGACCCAAAATCTCAAGCCGCCGAGAAAGCTAAATCAACCTCTGCTCCATCATCTCCGGCCTCTGCTCCGTCAATCCAATCCCTACTATTGTTTCACTGGCTTCGCGCGATGACCCTGCCTGGAGCGCCTGAGATTTAAAGAGGTCAGAGATCGACCTGCTGTGGGATTGAATCGACTCCCCTTGTGGTCGATTTTTTTATAGCAAAATTGGATTCTCTTTCCCCTGTAAATCTGTGAGATTCTTGTAACGCCTAGTCGTAGAAGAGCACCTCCATGGAATCCGACGAGCGGCGAACAGGTGCTACCCTAATGTTGGTTAACTGGTGCTCACCGTGGGAAGCATTTGGTAGGGGGGGGGGGGGGGGGAGTTGGATAAAGATTTTATCCGACGCAGATGCCGCCGGTGAAGAAAAAATGGTACATTCCTGTGTATTTTGTTGAATTCAGAGGAGCAAGAGAAGGTCCTAGGGAGGCGACGGCGACAATGTTATGTAGAAGGAAGAAGAAAATAGGAGGGAGTAGGGTTTAGCATTTTTTCTAAAATATAAATTAAAAACATAAACATATGTGTTTACTTATTTATTTATTTGGGTGACATTGAGGAACACAAGTGAAGCAATCTTACAACTTTTATTGAATAAACGAAATCAACTTTAAGTACAATTCCCAAAGCTTCAAACTCAGACTCCACTAACGTCTACTAACCCCTCTTTTCGGAAATCAAGCTATCACAACTAACTAACCTTCCTGAAGACTCTCAACTATGTTAACAACTTGCAGAGGGACTCGACTAGCATAAGACTCAACTATAGGTACTAAACTAAACTTATTCAAACGACACAATTTAACTTAAGACACACTGACTCCAAACTTCAAACACATTTGGTGCCAAGCTTCAATCCATTTGACACAAGGATTATGTTCTTGATTCCAGCAGATCATCAGCCTTTATGTCCAACATATCCTCCCCTGAACTGAAGCTGGTTTTGCCCAGCTTCAGTTCACTTCACATCAGTCACTACTCTTGCTCACAAATTCTTCCAAGTCACAGACACTAAGCTTTCTCCTCAGCATCTGAAATGTTTCCAGATTCAAACCCTTTGTTATAAGGTCTGCAACTTGTTCATGGGTTCTGCAGTGTTCCAACTTCACCACACCTTCATTAGCTAGATCCCTAAGAAAATGAAAACGCACGTCAATGTGCTTGCTTCGGCCATGAAGCACAAGATTCCTGGATAGCTTAATGGTAGATCTGTTATCACATAGGATCTTTGTTGCATCCTTCACACTATCCTTCCACTCCATCTGCTCCAGAATTCTTCTCAGCCATACACACTGTGCAACACAGTATGTTGCAGCCAAAACTCAGCTTCTGTAGTAGACAAGGTCACCACTGGTTGCTGCTTTGATGCCCATGATATAACTCCTCCTGCCAAGAAAAACGTGTAGCCACTTGTACTTTTGCTATCATCATCATCATCTCTAGCATAGTCACTGTCTGTATAACCTATCAGATCTTCTTCTTCTTCTTCTTCTTCTTCTTCTTCTTCTTCTAATAAATTCCAAAGCTCATAGTTCCCTTTAAGTACCTCAATACTCTCTTTGCTACAAGCATGTGCTGCCTGGTTGCGGAATCCATGTATCTGTTGAGAAGACAGACACCATTTATCACATCTGGTCTAGTGTGTCACATACAGCAGGCTGCCTATGAGTTTCTTATACTCAGTAAGATCAACAAGAACACCATCACCAACCTTCGTGAGTTTTGTACCAGGAGCTATGGGATGAAGCACAACATTGTAGTCTGATAACTTGAATTCTGCTAGCATATAAGCATGGTTTCTAGCATACATGAGATCATCTACATACAAACTTACTATCAGAATTCTATTGCTAGCTTTCTTTATGAACAAATTGTGTTCATAGGTGCTTCTGTCAAAACCAAATCGAAGAAAATAGGATTCTATCCTACTATACAAAGCCCTGAGTGTCTCCTTTAATCCATAGAGAGTCTTCTTCAGCCTATAGAATTTATCTTCTTCCCCGACAACCACAAAGCCTTGTGGTTGCTCCACATACACTTCCTATGTCAGCTTACCATGCAGGAAGGCAGATTTCACATCTAATTGCCAGATAGTCAGATTATGATATGCAGCTAGAGCAAGTAAAGCTCTGATGGTATTCCACCTTGCCACTGGTGCAAATACCTCTTTGTAATCTATCCCATGTCTTTGAGCATAGCCCTTGACAACCAGTCTTGTTATGCTTGTCCAAATATCAAAGCTCATTCAACTTTGTCTTATAAACCCATTTTAAACCAATTGGAATAATACCCGGAGGAAGAGTAGTTAGCTCCCAAGTATCATTCTTCTCGATGGACTTCATCTCCACCTTCATTGCTCCATCCCAGATTTCGTTACTAGCAGCCTCCTCATATGTTCGAGGATCCTCAATAGTGGCCACCATAACTAGCCAGTATGAATTTGAAGAATCCACATGACTGCAGTCATATACAGACAAGTGACGTGGAGGGCTCTTTGGTCTTGGTCCCAACTCAGTGCTTCTGGGGAGTCCCAGAACATCAGTTAATGTCTCTCCCTTGATTTCTTCTAGCCCAGTGACAGGGGGTGGAGTGACAGGTTCAGGAACATCATCAATGCCATCATATGTTGATGATGTGCCTTCAACACTATCCGAACCAGCTGGTTCATCTTCTACAACTAGACCATATTCATCATCAGAATCATAACAAACATCTTCACCGCCATCCTAATATATCCTAGTGAGATCAGGTTGAATGCCTGATTCCCAACTCCAACCTTTGCTTTCATCAAAGACTACATCCCTACTTACTGCAATTTTCTTGGTTGCAGTATTGTAGAGTTTGTAGGCCTTTGACTCAGAAGACAATCCTAGGAAATGACATTTAGAGCTCTTGTCATCTAGTTTTTTCCTCTACTAATCTGGAGTGTGTACAACCACACAACCAAACACTCTAAAATGAGCTATTGATGGTGCGGATCCTTTCCAGAGTTTCTGTGGAGTCTTACCCTGATTAGCCACTGTAGGACTTCTATTGAGAACATGGGTGGTCCAGTTCAAAGCCTCAGGCTAGAATCTTGCAGGAACTTGTGTATCCTTCAACATACACCTCACTATGTTCATGGTGGTTTGATTCTTCCTCTCAGCCACCCCATTCTGCTGTGGGGTTAGAGTAGCAATCAACTGCCTCTTGATACCAGCATCTTCACAAAGAGACTTAAATTCATTTAATAGATATTTACCTCCTCTATCAATTCTAAGGCAAGTGATGGGAAAACCAGTTTCTTTCTCCATTTGAATCTTAAACTTCTTGAACCACTCTAGAGATTCTGACTTAGTAGTTAAGAAATATACCCAAAGCTTCCTGTTGAAGTCATCTATTAGAGTGAAGACATACCTCTTTCCTCCATTAGATATGGGAGTGATAGGGCCACACAAGTCTACATGGATCAGCTGCAGCTTCTAAGTAGCCCTCCATGGACTTTTCTTTGGAAAAGCTTGTCGTGTCTGTTTGCCAACTTGACAGATGGAGCAAACCCCAACTTTTCCCTTCAAATCTAGTAAGCCTTGGACAAAGCTCTTTCTTTGAACTTGCAACGGGCCTTGAGGGTTGAAATGACCAAACCTTCTGTGCCAAAGGTTGAGTGAAGTTTCCATTTGTAGTTTGGAGACAGTATAATGAAGCACTGCCTGCTGGCTTCTGTGTGTCAACCTGAAAAACAAACATTTTGTTTGTTTTCATAGTAGTTTCCAGCAGCAGTCCTCTCTCTTCATGAAAGATTTTACACACATTCTTCTTGACAAGGAACTCGAGATCCCTCTCTCGCAGTTGTCCATGCTCAGCAGGTTGGTATTCAAGCCAGGTACAAAGAATACATCTTGAATTACCAGGTTCTATCTTCTCAGCTGCAGTTTCACTGTCCATTTGCCAACCACATCCAATCTGCTGTCATTTCCCAGTCTCACTTTCCCAGTATGAATGGTATCAATATTTTCAAGCCATCCTTTGTTACCACTCATGTGGTTACTGCACCCCGATTTTAGAAATCACCATTTCTCTATTTTCTCCAAGTGAGCATCTTCAAGGAATGCCATTAACAAAACATTATCTGGCATGTCATTGTGAGCACTAGAGTAATGAGCATGTTGATTTGTGTACTAGTCAGGACATTCACTTCGAAAGTGTCACAACTTGTGACACTTAAACCATTCAACATGCTCCCTATTCCAGCCTCTACTTCCTCGGACTCTTCCACTTCTTTGATAACCACCCCTGTTAGGTCTTCTTCATCTTCCACCTCCATAATCACTAGAGACCCTCAATGCCTGATCTTCCTCAGCCGCAAACTTCTTATTAAACTTCTTCCCATGCAAAAGTAGGGAGCTTTGCAGAGCATCCACAGAAAGAGTCTCAGTATCTTTGGACTCCTCAATTGAACACACAACATAATTGAATCGTTATGTCAAGGCTCATGTATCTTTTAAACTATCTTGAAATCATGCATATCTTCTCCACAATTTCACATATCATTAGCTACCACCATAACTCTGCTAAAGTATGCATTAACAATCTCACCTTCCTTCATTTCAAGAACCTCAAAGGTTCTTCTGAGAGCATGCAACTGAGCCTTCTAGACACAAGCACTTCCTTGAAACTTTGTCTTTACAACATCCCATAGTTGCTTGGTTGTAGCTTTGGTGGTGATTGTCTTGAGAATAGTCTTGTCGATGGAATTGTACAGGTAATTCTTGGCCTTCAGGTCCTTGAGCTTGAGATCATCAAGACTCTTGCTCTCCGTAGCAGATTCCACACCACCATCTAGTTCCCGGTAGCCTTCACTAACCACACCCCAATACTCCTTGGAACGAAGGAGATTCTCCATCAGCAGGCTCCAGTGGTCGTAGTCTCCATCGAAGTTAGGCAGACCCACTTGAGAAAATCCAGCAGCATCACTCACGATTGCAGACCACAAAGAAAAACAACCAAACAACTTTGGTTTCACTCACCCTGTAAATAACGACGTCCTCACCAATATCTCTCGTGTTTCCCATACACAGATCTAGCACACTATTGCTCTCTTTCACACCCACTCTCGATTGATCAATACTAGTTTCAACTTGCAAGTGCTCTGATACCACATGAAGAACACAAATGAAGAAATCTGAATACTTTTATTGAATACGAAATTGACCTTAAGTACAATTCCCAAAGGTTCAAACTCGGACTCCACTAACGTCTACTAACCCCTTTTCTTGAAATCAAGCTATCACAACTAACTAACCTTCCCGAAGACTCTCAACTCTGCTAACAATTTGCAAAGGGACTCGACTAGCATAAGACTCAACTATATGTGCTAAACTGAACTTATTCAAACGACACAGTTTACCTTAAGACAGACTGACTCCAAACTTCAAACACATTTGGCGCCAAGCTTTAATCCGTTTGCCACAAGGATTTTGTTCTTGATTCCAGCTTATCATCAGCCTTCATCTCCAACAGACAAGGCGGTACACGTGGACT